TGAAGTCACGACGGTACTCTGTACCATGATATTTAATCCATTTGGCAGAAAACACACTGGTTGACAAAACAGTTTCAAATTTTGCAGCAATTGCTGCAAACTGTTTTTAGTGTCACCATCTTTCCTGGACCTAAAATTAATCTTTCCTTGCTAATAGATTCATGATACATTGTCATATAACTTTGGTGCTTTTTGGTTAATGTCTTTGTAATGTTTTTAAAGCTTTTTAATTGTTGCTTGAAGAAATTATGTTTGGCTTTGTAACGCATGCACCATGTGTGCAAAATTGGACCAATGTGCCTTATGCTACGAGGGTAATGTATCATGAAGTGATGTTTTGGCAAGAGATTTATTTCAGGAAATAATTGCTTGAACAGCCAATGATGATCAGTGATTAAATGTTTGAGGTATATGGTCATGCCTTCTGACAGGACTGGTGAAAATACAATGTTAACAATATGTAGAAGCAAAAGTAGGAGATGCCAGTGTTTATCATCTGTCTCGATCAAATCACCAAATAGCAATGGCATATTGCGTAACAAGCACCAAGACTGTATGGCATTCAACCCCAAATCATTACTTCCATCCATCTACTTATTTGTTGGCAGAGGTGGACGGTTTCGCTGCTGATTGAAACCATAGTCATATGCATGTATTTTACCAGCCACTTGTTCAGCACTTAGGGAGTTGCCTTGAATGTACTTCAGAATCAGTTTCACCTCAAACTGACCAACCCCCTCTAAAATATTATGTTATTATATCTATTATATCTACAGAGAAGTTGTTGGCTGTGTTGAAATATTGAAGTGAATTCAACAGACAAATGCGTTTCATACCATATGCATGAGGCTGCCTAGGATCTATTTGTATAGTCTGACAGTGCTGTGCATGCGCATCAACAGTTCTTAAAATAACTTCCGGATCATCTTCACAGAATACAGTTTGAAAACAGTGTTTCTCAAGAAGACAGAAACGACAGCAATATTGAGCCCCAAATGACTCTCACAAAGCCAAACAGTCCATGCAAACCAAGATTGTCCCCAGTGACCTGAACTACAGTACCATGAATCGCATGTTCAAAATTTGGAATTTGAAGTCCCTCTGTTTCAAGCACTTTCAGATCATTAATAAGTGGTTCAAGTATCAAATTAAAGCTGTATCGCTTGATATCCTGTGCATGGAATAGAGCACACAAATGAAAATTAATCAAAGACAAATTAAAGATTTGGGGGAAATTTCTTAGAGTAAAATATATAGCACCTTATTTATGTAAACCCCTTTTGGGTCCCAAGACATTTGCAGTTTCAAAGTCGTCATAAAACAGCTGAATCTGCAAGGCATCTTTTTCTACAGAAAATAGGGGACTTTCTTTAAAATAGGTGGCATCTCTCAAATCTACATACACACCTTCCTTGGGAATATACCTGGGCTTGAACATGTCTACAATTTTTTTTTTGGTAAAATACTGTTAAGTGTTTCCAAAATGGGAACATATGCAAACATATCAGTTACAATGACTTGGTCATACGTCCCAGTAGTTTTGTTTCTTCTGCTGTCGAATCTTGTGCCAAGCACTTTTTGAATAGGCTCAACAAGTCCCCATTTCTCTAAGTGTTTGTTTAGTTTTGCTTCTGAATTTAAAGGTATGAATGGATTTTCCAACGTTTGGAAGGACTGTTCTATGTTGTTCCTATTTTCTGTATCCTGTGGAGACAAGCACTGTAAAGCTACATCCTTTTCCTAACTGTGAATCTCAAAAATCACTTCTTCCATGGATGAGACAAACCTCTTTACATTAGACTGACTTAATCCAGCTGTTTTTAGTTGTGCAATAGCAGCAGCACACATATCCAAAGTGCTGCTATTGGACTATAGGTTGTGGCTGTCTCCTCTACATTAGCTGTCACCAGCTCTCCTTCATCACCAAGGTCTGCTCTGCTTGAATTGACATCATTATTAACTTGTTGGTCAATACTGACAGTGTGTTTGGTGTTTAAATGTTTCCTAAACCCAGAAAACATTCCAAGCACACGGCCACATCCAGTCTGAGCACATTTAAGGCGAAGATTTTTTCCATCCAAGTAACCATGAACTACTCATAAATGCCTAACAAGTGTATTTGCGCAAGTTAACTCAGTCTGACAAACAACACACTTAATGTCAAACGGATCCGTTCAAGTACTAATGAAGCAACCTAGCCCGAACTTCTGCGACACAGGGACTCTCCTTCACTTTGCCAACATCTATGTTGTACACAGTGGTCTAGATGAACGTGAACATGTTGTACAGCATGGGGTTGTATGTGGTGGCAAAAAAATAATGCGCCTTAAACAGTTCGTCAAAAGCACCAAGTGAGGAGGCCGACTTGCAAGCGATGGCATTTTTGTCAAGTATTATAAAGAACTGGTGGACTGCTTTCTTCCTTCGTCCTACAGCCAGGAGGTAGGGTTGTGTGCTTGTTGTGATGGAATCAAGATGTTCTTGGATGTTGGTTCCTGTCTGAGAAAACAAAACACAAACACATGGCGAGACTATTACAATTACATGGTTGTAATATTACACCAAAAAAAAAAAAAAAAAATCAGCTTCCATGTGTATTTGTGGCCCTTAAAGGTTTTCCACAGACTGGTTAATAAAGTTTTAGGTTTTCTACAGACTGTTTAGAGTTAACATTGAGGACACTGACACAGAATAGCAAAACACTAACACAAAATACCCCATGTAAACATTGATGTACCCCCATTTTAAAACTCAAATCACTTAAACAACAACATTATTTATCAATCTGTTCCTGTGGCAGTCAGTTAAAACTAAGTCTGAATGGCCACAAGAGAGCGCGGGCACTCTCGAGTGTAGCATCTTACATGCAGTGACTGTTTTTCTGGGCACAGAAGAAGTCAGAGGTCAGAGGTTATGACAAACAGTGTGCCGTGAAAATATTGAACCGTCACTGATGTGTTGTATATGTATTTCTGAACCGGTATGTATTGTTGGGTGACAGAAATAATCAATAAAGACAATGTTGTGATGTGCAAGAAAGGGGAAATATTAATGTATGGGGGCGGGAGTGTGTTTACTTTGAATGAAAGATTGGTGACCAGCGCTAATGTTAGCATGCTAGCTGTTAACATCCGTGACAATAGCCATCTCAGGTGGTTTCTGCAGTGTTAAGCGCTAATGTTAAACTCTAGCAGCCTGTTAAGATATTTTTATTTGATTTCTATGCAGTGTTAAGCATTAATGTTAAACTCTAGCAGCTCGTCTGTTGAGCTATTTTGATATTATTTTGACACAATTTCTGTTCAGTGTTAAAAACGCAATACATTGGATCAGTTAGACAGTCAAGTAAGACCTGTAGTGTTGTGTTAGGCTGTAGGTGTCACTGCTATATTAGGAGTAAATGTGATGTCAAGTCAGTCTATGTTGTGTTTTGTTAACTTGACAACATAATAATTTGAAGTGTGTTGAAATTTCCTCATGTGCATATGGGATATAAATGTTGTTTACAGTTTCAAGTGCTATAAAAATGTTTTATACAGTTTCAGGTGCTATAGAAATGTTGTGTTATACAGTTTTTGTACATCAGATGTTGTTTAATATGAGAAAGTTCAGTGACAGTGAAAATATTAGTTCAGTGCCAATTAAATGTAAGATCTCAGTATCTGAATGATAGAAGAAGTCAGAGGTCAGAGGTTATGACAACCAGTGTGCAGCGAAAATATTGAACCATCACGGATGTGTTGTATATGTATTTCTGCACAGGACCTCATATGAAGAACTACAATAAATGTGTTGCACCTGGAAGACGTCATTCTTTTAAGAAGTGTAACATATGTATAGTATTTAACTGTGTGTGTATGTGATCATGATTTGCAAAACTGTAGACTCACAAGTCAGTCTTTAGATGCTTTGCTTAACTAAAGACTGATGACTTTCTCCCTGATTTTGTATTGCAGATACAATTTCAGAGTTTAAAAAAAACTCCCTACGTTGCAGAACCAATAGTAAATCTGCAGGGCGGTCCTTCAGTGGCTCACTGAACTCTTGTGCTTGTAATCATAGTCCCACTAGAAACACGTGTAGCGGTACAAAATGGCTCAGCCGTGCTCGCAGAAAACGCCATCAAAGTTAGTGGATGTTTGTCGCGTTTGCGGCGACACATTCTCACCAGCTAAAAGAAACAAACATAATCTTTTACAAGGTCATGACTCATCTGTCTGGCCGGACTATAACGTTAGAGGGAATCGCCTTGTTGTTTACAAATACTTCCGGGTAGAAAACCAGCAGAGCTTTTAGCTATATATACTATGTAGCCTATATATCACATTTTTCACATCACTGTATCAGTGTTCAATCTGATGTTTGTAAAGTCTATAAACACAATGATTGAACAAACATTACTATTTCTGTGTGCACGTTTAGCTGGGCTAACCATTAGCTGTTAGCCCTGTTAGCCGTTAGCGGTGTCTGTAATAGGTAATAACTCATTAAACGGTCCGTGAAAAAAATATCTTTTCCAGCGGATATCTTAGTTACAACATGATTGAGCTAGCAAAGCAGTTTTGTGTTGCTATGTGTGGTATTTATTCAGTTTTGGGAAATCACGATGTCTAGAAAGCATCAGTGGCTGCAGCTGACAGGGACAGCTAACACTAGCAGCAAAGCTAACATCAGGACATCATCTGTTAAAAGCCTCCCGTTGTCGGATACGACGTGAAACTACTCCAGTTAGCTCAATAATGTTGTAACTAAGACATCCGCTGGAAAAAATATTTTCTTCACGGATGAGCACACGTTTGATAAAACGGAGTTAAATCTCTTGGAATCCATTTTCAAGCTCTCTGTGTGTTTGTTTCCTTGCGGACGAGAAAAGGGGGGGCGCACATTTCCGAGAAAGCGTGTCTTTTTCAAAAATGCAAGAGGCGTTGCTTTGTTGCCGGCCGTTTTCGCCAGTGTGTTAAACACACTTTAGAAAGGAGTGTCCCCAGACTATCAGAAGGTGGAGATCTCTGATTGTCTGGTGGCGAGACTAACAAAACCAAGGCTCCCTCAGTGAAACATCCTCAAATAAAACATTAAAATAAATTAGGAACAAATACAAACCTTCTTGAAGACCACGAGATGCTTCTCTGCTTAGGAAGCAGACACCTTTCCTGGTCTCTTATGACCCTGGGCAGAAGGGGGATTCAGGTGTGACAGCAGCAAAATCAATGAGAGGTCACTGTCCCAACAACACAAATTTGATGTTAAGTGGACCATCAGCAAAATTCAGTGATTCTGCAATTTCAATAGCACTTTTTTTTTTTTTTTTTTTTTTTTTACAAAATACCAAAAAGACAGCAGTTCTATATGATCATAAGCTCTCTATTTTTACTGACCTATTTTTCATTTAATATTTAAACTACTGCTAACACATCACACAAACACAGCACTAGACATTGTTTTCTAAAACATTTCACATTTGGTGCTGTTGCGCCACCGGGCAAGAGTGGGCGAGAGTGGGCGAGAGCATCTGCCCTGCCCTGCTCTGCTCATGCACAGCACTACAATAAAGACGCAGTGTCATTAGCAGCAGGCTAATGTGTCTGTGAACCAGCAGGCATAATAAATGTTTTTTTCTCATTTTGTTATCGTCCCATGTCGTATGCAAATGCGTTAACAATTATATTATTGCATTGTAAGATAATGTTGAAATGTGTATAGCAGAGTTAGTTATGTTATTCTCTGCCTTAAAAGGCGCCAATAGCTGTATGTGGCTGTAAGTTAATTATATGTTCCTGGTCATCGTATGTTCATAGGACGTTGTTACGCTGGTAACTACTGCTACCTGGCATACTGACCCTGGCATGAGCAGAGTTGACTAAGGGCTACTTTAAAAGTAATCAAAGTACTTTACTGTGTTACTTTTTAAAAAAGTAACCAGTTACTTTACTGCGTTTCTCCCCGAGTAAAGTAACTCAAGTACTTTTAAAGTACTTCCAACGTTACTCCCTGAGAAAAGTAACTCAAGCACTTTTAAAGTACTTTTGAGTATTCTACATTTCTTACTGGGCAATGGACCACAGGGCGCTAAGCCTACATTTTTTTGTCTCCAAAATTATAGTTATGGACCACTTGCCCTTCAATGAGATCCAATTCTCCCATCACAGCCGTCACTTTGACCAGTAGAAACACAGAACGATCTGCTGCCGTAGACAACTGTATGACAACAACACCCCAGCTTTTTTAATATTTCCTCTAGGGATGTTACCACACAGAGTAAAAGGGGGAAATGATGGTGTGAAACAGCAGAGG